AGTTCTCTGAAGACATGTTTCACATAGAAGACAAAAAATTTAAACTGGGCCGGGGATTTAGCTCAGTGGTTCCAGTGCCTGCCTCACAAGTGCAAGGTCCAGAGTTCGATGACCAGTACCAAAAAGAAAAAAATAAAAACTGCCAGAAGTAATGCCACTATTTAGAAAGCAGTCAAAAGTAGAGGAGCACAGGACACTAGCAGCCTACACAACACATTAAAATCCCAGAGGAGAGTTTCTGATGTATACTTCACATTAAAATAAAATTGTCCTACATAATTCCTTTTGCTTACAATTAGCTTAGATTAGGCTACCCCTAATTTAGCTACCTACAGTAAAAAACAACAACAAAGCAAAACAAGAAAGATAAAAATTTTAAGTGTTTGGGCCGGGGATTTAGCTCAGTGGTTCCGCCGCCTGCCTTGCAAGCACAAGGACCGGAGTTCAATCCCCAGTACAAAAAAAAAAATTCTAAGTGCCAGAGCTGGGAGTGGAGGCATACACCTGTAATCTCAGTACCAAGGAGGCTGAGGCAGAAGGATTTTGAGTTCAAGGCCAGCCTGGACTACACAGTAAGACCTGGTCTCAAAAAACAAAACAAAACAAACAAAACAAAACATGGGGCCGGGGACTTAGCTCAGTGGTGCCGCCCGCCACCTGCCTCACAAGTGCAAGGTCCGAGTTTTATCCCTGGTACCCCCGCCAAAAAACAAAACTCAAAAACACATCAAAAAAGTTACTATGATAATTTTTTGATGTGTGTCTTTACTAAGGTCTCCTTCCAAATTCCAAAGGCAGTCATCTTGGCCTTATGTTTTGATCTGATTTGACTCCAGCAGGTATTATTGATCTAAACTCTTACTAGGAACCAAGTTCCTTTCACACATTCATTCATTCATTCATTCTTCATTCATTTTGAGACAGGGTCTTGTTATACAGTCTGGCCTTGAACTGACTATGTAGCCCAAGCTGGCCTCAAACTCATGGCAATCCTCCTGCCTCAGCCTCTCAAGAGCTGGGATCACAGGCGTGCGCTACCACACCTGGCTCCTTTAACATACCTTAAGACCTGAGTCACATTTAAACAAATAAGATCTCATATTGTATAACCTCCAGAAATAATGAAACATATGAACCTCTTATCTAATAAAAAGAGTTACAATTTGGGCCAGGGATTTAGCTCAGTGGTTTTGCCACAGGCTGCACAAGCGCAAGGACCTGAGTTCAATCCCCGGTACCAAAAAAAAAAAAAAGTTACAATTTAATTCTGGAAGAAACCTGTTCTCCTTTACTCCAGGCAGCTGTCTGTTTTCTGAAATCACTGCTCTCTGAAACTGGCCAGTATGGGAGAAAAATGCACTCATCCAGCTTCATCTGAATGCTCCATTAGGCATAAGTTTCTCTTGCTATTTCCAGTATCTTCACAGCAAACCTTACCAAAATTAAATATCTCCTTGAAATCATCTTTTTGGAAGTCTGGTAAAACTGGATTAATCCACTCTTGTACTTCTATACCATGTTCCTTTGACAGTATTTTTATAGTAGTAGTTTTTCCACATCCAGGAGGACCTGTTATTAATAAAATAGATCCACCCTAAAAACAAATACAAACATTAATTAAAAACCCAAATCAAGAGTGCTGAGGGGTAGCATAGTGGTAGACTTGTCTAGCACATGCAAGGTCCTGGATTTGATCCCCAGCACCACAAAGAGAAAACAAACCAACCACTGGAATGCTACAATATTATTATTATTTGGGGGGGTGGTGGTACCAGGGATTGAACTCAGGACCTTGTACTTGTGAAGCAGGCGGTGGCACCACTGAGCTAAATCCCCAGCAACAATATTATTTTTTAACTTCTAAATTTGTTCCTTCTCCAAATATTGAATGTCTAGTATAAGCAGACTAAATTTCACAATTAAATGAGCTTTAGATAAAATGAGAGAATCTTATTTCTTTTTTTTTGGTACTGGGGATCGAACTCGGGTCCTTGTGCTTGTGAGGCAGGCAGCAGAACCACTGAGCTAAAAACCCGGCCCGAGAATCTTATTTCTTGAATAATAAACCCCTTTTCTGCTAATTCCTCAATTCTTATATTTTTACCAAAGACCATTTAGAAGCCAAATTAAATCAACAAAATTTGGCTAAGTTAAGGAGGCATAGTCTAAAATAAAGATTTTTAGAGATTACCCGAAGTCATAAAATTTAATCTTAATAGACTGCTCACACAATGTAATTATATAAGTATTATATTCTTATAGAAATGTGCCATTTGCATATTAGATTCTATAAAAAATATGTATTAAGAAACATATTTACCAGACATAGAAATCTAATGATATGAGGTTGTAGGTCCTAGTAATATTATTTCATAAAATGAATTTGATGAAAAAAATGAAAGTTAAAAAAGTGTAAGGGAAAATTTCCTACATGCAACAGTGGACCTTATTCCTTGCTCCTATCTAGTGGAGGTGAGGGCCTGCATAATTGGACACAAAAGAGTCAGTTCCACTTTCCAACACGACAGTGTATTAGTTGGGAGTGGTGGTATACTCCAGTAATCCCAGCACTTGGGAGGATGAGGCAGGAGGATCACCACAAGTTTGGGGCCAGCCTAGGTTACACAGTGAGTTCAATGGAGCCTGGACTATATATGGAAACCCTGTCTCAGAAAAACAACAAACAAAATGACAGTGCACAAATATAGGGCTGCTCACCATGCATTGTTAATGAATGAATAATATATATATTAAATAAACACATATAAACTGATAGGTTAACAAAAAATGTTATAACAGGAAGTTTGCAGAAACCTAATGCTGTATTTTTCTTAGGAAGAATGGTTCAGTACTATATTTGCTTTAGCAACTTTTTGACATATAATACCTCGAGAACTGACTGTATTTCCAACCAGATCACTTTTTTATAAAACAGAAAGCCCTATGCACTGGCACTACTTTTTTTTTCCCCCTTGGTAGTATGTGTGTGTAGTTCAGGCTTGTCATGCACTCACTATGTAGTCTAGGCTGGCCTCACACTTCCAGTGATTCTCCTGCCTCAGCCTCCCAAGTGCTGGGATTACAGGCATGTGCCACCATGCCCAGCTACATATTTTTTTTTTAATGTAATACAGTTAGGGTCTGTTTTCTGACACAGTAGGTAGAGTCACAAAACAAAAATTTTGCTTCTAGTAAGATAACTAGTTAGTTGCTCCATTGTCGATGATTAGAAATTTACCACACTATTCTGAAGGAAAGACGTTGTCCTAAAAAATTAAAATAAGCAAACATTTGGAATATTTTTAACAATATAACATTTACAACAAATATTTATAATATCTATAACAATTTATTTACAACAAAATTTTAAAAATTTCTTTGAGAACTGATAAATCTAGAAATTACCAAACTTTATTTTCAAGAAAAATGTCTTACAATTACTAACATCATTGAAACTTTTATAAAATAAAAAGTATATGAGTGATTAAAATCCAACTCCTGGTGTTGGGAGGTGCTTTTAAAATTCTAGAAAAATCCTTCCCCTAATACATATATGCACGTATACATATATCTAATTAGGTTTTCCAACTGGTAAAGTAACAGTAACACCTAGGTAGGTTTAAGACAGCATCAAGTGTATTAAAATACTGCTAAGTGACAAAACACGGTGGATCCATGAAAAATATAAACTATTAGATGGAGGCTGACCAAAAAAGTCCATGAGAAAAGCCTTTGGTCCAAGAGGTACATCAGAGAAACTGCCCAGAAATTTGTGCTCAGAAGAGAGATGAGATTACTATGAGATGTCGAAGAAATATCAAAGCTGCCCCTGAAAATCCATCCTGAATACATTATCTTAACCTAAAGAGTTAGATCCATAGGCCAGACAGAAAGGAGCCTTATTCAAGAGAAAAGGATCTGGTCCCATACAAGCAACCATTAATTACTTCATTGTAAAGTTGAAACTTAAAGAGAAGCCCTGATGTAAACAATGGACTTTGGCTGTGAGTGACAAATCAATGTAGGCTCATCAGTACTAACAAATGTCCGACTTTGGTAGTGGATGATAATGTCTGTATCTTCTGTTCAAATTGCTCTAAAAAAAATAGTCTATTAAAAAAATTTAGCCAGGGGCTGGGGATTCAGCTCAGTGGCGCCAAGGCTGCCTTTCAAGTGCAAAGTCCTGAGTTCAATCCCTGGTAGCAAAAAACCCCACAAAAATTAGCTAGGTATGGTGGCGCATGCCTGTAATACCAGATACTCAAGAAGCTGAGCAAGAGTTCTGTAAGATGGAAGCCAGTCTGGGGAGATCTTCTCTCAAAAATAAATAAAGGGCTGGTGATTTAGCTCAGTGGTTTCGCCGCCTGCTACACAAGCCCAAGGACCCAAGTTCAATCCCTGGTACCAAAAATAAAAGAAAATAAAATAAAAAGGGTGGAGGATGTAGCTCAATAGAAGAACATTTGCCTAGCATACATGAAGCCCTGGGTTCAAACTCCAGTACCACCACCACCACACCCACGCACAAAAATCAAAGGAAACTTGTCTTTCTAGTTACTTAATCTTTTTTTATTTTTTTAATCTTTTGAGAGGATCTTGCTATATAGTCCAGCCTGGCCTTGAACTCACTATGTGGTCCAGACTGGCCTCATGGTGATCCTCGTTCCTCAGCCTCCCAAGTGCTGGGATTACAAGCATGTGCCCAGCTGTCTTCCCAATTAGAACCATATTGCACAGCAATTAAATAGTCCTAATGATGGCAATCTTTTAATAAGAAGATGGTTAATTAAATAATTCCAATTAGACAAATGATTCAGGCAAGAATTAAAGATGGATGCCAAAACATAGAGGTTAAAGACTGCTAAGGAACTGGGCACTGACACATTGCAAAAGCACCTCCCACTGATTCTGTGCCAGGTGCAAGATGCAGATATTTAACCACCATCTCTTTAATCGAGTGGCCAGACAATGTCAGAGACAGCAGAACCAACCATGCTTTTTGATATGACACAATAGAAAAATTATAAAACATGTACCATGATCCTTAAAGAATTCCTGAAAAAAATGTTCAACTTGAATCTAATAAAGACCTTGATTCAACATTCAAGGTTAAACAGCAAGCACAGTACTACGTGCCTATAGTACCAGAAGCTGAGGCAGGAGGATCAGCTGAGCCCAAGAGTTTGAGATGAGCCTGACTACCAAAGGAAAACCCAGTCTCAAAAAAAGAAAAAAAGGACATTTTGGGAATAGATGGAGAAATGCAAAAAGAAAATACATGGGCCGGGGATTTGGCTCAGTGGTTCTGGCGCCTGCCTCGCAAGCGCAAGGTCCCAAGTTCGATCTGCAGTACAAAAAAAAAAACAAAACCTGAAAATACATGAAGTCAGACATGGTGGTGCACACCTATAATCTCAGCACTCAGGAGGCTGAGGCAGGAGGATCACCAGGAGTTCCAGGCCAGCCTCGGCTACATAGTGAGTTCAAGGCCAGCTTGAACTACATAACAAGACTCTGTCTTAAAAAAAAAAAATCTTTAGATAACATTAAGGCATTAGTTAATTTTTGTCAGAATAATTATATATACAATAGTTAATTAGGAAATTTTTTCCCAAGAGCATCATATCAAAGTGTCTAAAGGTGAAATGTCACAATATTTGTAATTTACTATAAAATACTCAAGGGAGAAAATGAGAGCACGTTGCCGATAGATGAACATGTCTATCTCCTTTTATGTTTGAAGATTAAAAAAAGTTTAAAAAGAGATTAAGAGTTGTCGTCCCCCCCCCCCCACAAAAAAAGAGAGATTAAGAGAAAAAGAGACTATTTTACGGGGGGTGGGGGGGGTGGGAGGGGGTGGAGATAAGCACAGATTTAGGAAGTGAAACAAGAAACACCAGTCTGAAATGAATGATAACTGTTTTAGCCTATATTTAGTAAAAAACTAATGTGTAATTTGCCTGCTTGCTTCAGTGTGAGATCAACTAATGTGTTAAAAATACTAGCAGCACAGTTGGCTCACTGCCTTCTGCTGACAGTAGGGCGTTAGGATGGGAAAGAAACACAAATCACAGGAAAGCTCCCAGTCCTCAGTCTCCCAATGAGGCTGACACGGTGAGGTAAGGGAGCTTGTTCCTGCAGAGCATCTGGACTTACCTTTCTCTAACTTACTGTTAAGTCAGGGAAACATTTGGTGCTGAATCTTTAAAAACATATTTCTTACTTCATTACCTGTTCTGGTTGCCTTTCTAAGACTTCAGCTTTTAACCAGTTTTCAACTTCTTCAATTTTCTTTTTATGCACAGCAAGTTCATGCTAAGACAAAAATTTCAGGTTTAAAACAAAACATTTTCACTGAATGATTTTTGATATATCAGCACCAGCTACATTTAAACATTTTCAATGAAGAAAACTGCAAATAAGTAATATGCTATTGTAATAGATCCTTTTGATTATATTTGAATTTTTTTGGGGGGGGGGGACAGGTATTGAACTCAGGACCTTGCACTTGCCAGGCAGGTACTATGCTGCTGAGCTACATCCCCGGCCCTATATTTGAATTTTTACACTAACAACTCTATCATTATGCTGAAATCACTACAGGATTATTAGGGAAGTTTGTAATTACAATATTTTAAAACCCAGAAATACATTTTAGGAAAGGAAAAGAGATGAGTATTTAGCAAAAAAAAATAAAGATATCAATTCTATAATGGGTTAAATTAAACCTAAGAGAAAGAACAAAAGGTACAACTTCTGAACACTGGTTGATAAAATATGAGCCTTAGAACATAAAACTATGTAGAAACTTTTTTTTTTTTTGGTACTGGGGATTGAACTCAGGACCTTGCGCTTGCGAAGCAGGCGGTGGCACCACTGAGCTAAATCCTCGGCCCGAAACTTGTTTTTTTTTTCAACTTCACTGAGAAAAATTCTTACATATAAAAATGTGAAAATAGACATTTCTCTCCTTTCCATCCACCCCAAGATTAAATTATGAAGACATATTTGTATGCTATTTAGTACCTGAGTTTCTGGTTTATATTTATCTACCCATGGTTCATTTTCAGACAAATATTCTTTGAAATTTTCTGGACCATAAATCTGTTCTGAGGAAGACAGATTTCCTCTTTTTCTAGCCGGGGCTCTGCTGCTTTCTAATGTGGAAGGCACATTTTTCCTTCTGTGACTTGAGTTATTCACCCCTAAAGATGTGGTAGGAACAGCAGAGAAGGCCGTAGTTTCTGAAAAATCATCAAATGATGGGTCTACCCAGTCTGTCACCTGAAAAAAAGACACTACATAAATATTATTACATTTTTTAACATCTACTTTCTACATAACTGAACTATTCTGGAAACAAGATATTCACATATTTATAACATTAAAATAGAAATCTTGTCAGGTGTGGTGGCACACACCTGTAATCCCAGCACTTGGGAGGCTGAGGCAGGAAGATTGCCTTGAATGTGAGGCCAGTCTGAGATATACAGTGAGAGCTTATCTCAAAAACAAACAAAAGAAAGTGGTGGGCCGGGGATTTAGCTCAGTGGTTTCGCCACCTGCTGTGCAAGTGCAAGGACCTGAGTTCGATCCCTGGTACCAAAAAAAAATTTTTTTTTTAATTAAAAGAAAACAAAGTGGAAAAAAGAAATTGAATCTTACAAATTAGCTCTTTACAAAAAACTGGCTCTAGGGCTGGGAATTTAGTTCAGTGGTGCTGCTGCCTGCCTCCCATGCGGAAGGTCCTGAGTTTGATCCCCCCACCCCCACCCCCGTACCAAAAACAAAACAAACAAACAAAAAAATTGCCTCTACGTGTTGCTCATTTTTTCTACCTTATAAGTAAGTGTACATGCATACTTTTCTACTTAACCATGGTAATAGAGAATGCCATGTAGGGCTGGGGATTTAGCTCAGTGGTGCCACCACCTGCCCCGCAAGCACAAGGACCCAAGTTTGATCCCTGGTACCAAAAAAAAAAGAATGCCATGTAAGAGACTAAGAACAAAAACTTGGTATTTTTCATTAATTATAACCTTCCCAGGATAAAGAATTTTTCTTTTTTACTGTTGGCATAACTGAAACATAAGATACTAAAATTACCTATGAAAAAGAGCAGGACAAATAAAATCATATTATTTCAACAAGAGCAGTAAGAATAATGCTTCTGCCTTGGTCAGCCCAGTACATTCACAGACTAGTACATTCACATTCCATACATCCAAATAATACATATCAGCTTAAGACTTTGTGAAGACAATGGTGAAGAGTCCTAAGGCTCTAATTTATAATTATGACTACGGGACACCATTTTCTTCAGCACAAAAAGCAATTAGTATTTCTTTAAGTTGAGCAGCCTTTCTAGGGAGGATAGGATGGGCCACACAGAAAAGCCTAAGAAAAAAGAGTACTGGGATCACAGGACAGGAAAATCAGTGAGTTCTATTTCACATTCTTTCTGTTTATACAAAACTGCTGACCTCTCCACATTTCCCTCCATTATTTTCTTCTCTTTAAAATCCTGTCAGGGCAAAGCATGGGAACACACGCCTGCAATCCTAGCATTCTTAGAGGCAGGGCCAGGAGGATTACGAGTTTGAGGCCAGTTTGGGCTAGTAAACTGGACACCAGCCTGGTAAGACCCCCCATCTCAAAAAAAAAAAAAAATCCTTTGTAAGTGCAGATGAAGATGTTTAATTGTGCAATTCTAACTTAAGGACATTTACAAAAATTTAAACAGATTTTTTTAAACAACAGTATAAATCTAGGAAACCTAGCTGGCTTTTGGATTTTCTTTCTGGTTATCAAGGAGGAACCAAGATTAGTTTTCTTCAAGAATACTCCACTATCGATCCCTGGTACCAAAAAAACAAAAAGAATACTCCACTATAGGAGATGTGTGGGACAATGTGGCTATGACATCTGTCACCCCATCGATCACCAGGGTTGATTCGCCCGATCTGGCTGGCTAGGCAGGTGTCCCTTTCCTTCTTCACCACTCCACGTGTGTCCCTCCCAAAGATGCACAATAGGTCGAAAAGAACGAACACCCAAGCTACAGGAGGACAATTTCCTCATCAAGGGTATATGAGTAGCTACACTCCCCTGCTAGAACCTTCATACAAGAGCTCAAGAATACTCCACTATAGGACCCGGATGTAGCTCAGGGGTACAGAACTTGCCTAAATGCACAGGTCTTGGCTTTAATTCTCAGCACCACCAAAAATAAATAAATACACTGTGCTTTACATGTATATCTGAAAAGGTCATGATGAAACCCATTACTTTGTATAATTAATATGCACTAACAATATAATAAAAGAACACTTAGCTACAGTTGTGAGCTATTAGATAATGCTCCTCTCAGGGAGGGGAAAAAAAAAAGCTGAAAGTGAAAGCAGGCTCAGGAAAGGGAAGTTAAGAGCTTATTAAGATTTCATGAATGCTCAGTCACATTTCAATCATTTTTTTAAAGACAGGGTTAGAAATATTGGCAGTGAATAAAGAAAAAGTATTGAAAAAAATCTGGGCTGGGGATTTAACTCAGCGGCACAGCACCTGCCTAGCAAGCTTGAGGTCCTGAGTTCAATCCCCAGTACCAAAAAAGAAATTTTAATCATAGCCACCCAATTCATTTCCTCTTCATTGAAAGATTCTCACAGATAGTATATTTTCACCCTTCCTCTACATTTAAGAGTACATGAAGCCAAGTGTGGTGCACATGTCTATAATTCCAGTGCTTGGGAAGCTGAGGGAGGAGGACTGGTGTTTGAGCCCTGCCTGGGTTAGATAACAAATTCAAGCCCAGTCTGAACTACACATCAAGACCTCTCAAAACAGAGTATATGAAAATATTTTTGTTACAGTAAACCTTTTGAGAGTAATTCTGATTTGTATATTACTTATACATTTAATGGTTTTATTTCTTACATAAATGTGAACTCACATCTACTAAAAAATAAGTGAAATAGTAAAGTTAAATAAGTTACTTAAAACTAATAAAAATCAGAGCCAACACTAGGGAAATAGATATCTTGTATGATACTGCCTGATCTCTATCTTACTGAGAACTGTTAGGGCGGGAGATTTAGGTCAGTGGTTCCACCACCTGCCTCGAAAAACGCAAGGACCCGAGCTCTATCCCCTGTACCAAAAAAACCCCAAAAGACTGAGAACTGTTAAACTGAACCACATCACTTATAAGAGGTAAGCCCTGCGTCAAGCTATAGCACCAACTACCACCCATATCTCTTTCTCTTCTGTGTTCTCTAATTCCGGAGTTTTCAGCTTTTATCTTGTGACTGGGATGATAAAACACTTTTTCAAAATTAAGGCTGTCGTTTTTAGTATACAACTGTTTTACAACTTACTACCAGACTTGTTTAGATTACTAATTATAAAAGATACCTGGACAGAAGTGATAAGACATTAAGAACAATAAAAATTTATAATTCTTTTTAGGGTATTATAACATGGCCATTTTAAGCATACCTTCATGGAAGTTACCTTTGATCTAAGAAAAGCTTTTGACATTATAAACTTTAACAGTTTCCATCCATAATATACAACCTGCAGTACATTAAAATATAATTCACCTAGGGGAGAAAAAAAGAGAAACCATCTCAAATGAAAGAAAGTCTAAATACAGAATTTTTACTAAACAGTTTACATTGATATAATCAACAACATAATAAAAGAAGCTCAAGAACTTGTAAAAAAGAATAACAGGAGAACACACCAAAATGCTAAAATAAATTTTACTTTTAGTGACTGACTGTAACAAATAATCTGCTTGTGTTATAAATGAAAATTTTTTTCATATGAACTCAGTAATAAATTACCATTACCGGTGTGTGGGGTCACATGCCTGTATTCCCAGCATGGGGCTGAGGGTGGGCAGGTGGGGGTGGGGGGAGGGCGCTAACACAGCAGAACTGCCACAAGCTCAAGGCCAGCCTGGGCTACCTAGCAAGTTCGAAACCAGCCTGAAGACCCTGTCTCCAAAAAAAAAAAAAGGACAGACCAGGTATTTGTGTACTTACTTTTTGTAATAAAGAATTAGTCAACCCTATTTGAACAGTAAATTTTTTTAAATTATAAGCACAAATTGACTTATTTCCAAGTTTTAAAAAAATATAATAAATTCAGACTTATCACTTACTTTGCATAAAGAATTTAAATCCTATTGCAAATCTTTTCTGTACCTGTCTTCCTTAATTGAACATGTTATTAGAAAATTTCTTGCCAACACTGTGTTCTTCAAGTTTCATAATTCTTAAATGCTTCTGCAAACTAGTGAATTACATAATTTTTAATTAGGCAGAAGAAAAGTTTAAGCCAACAAACGTACAGACTGAAGGAGTACAGGACTATGTCACAGTTTGGAGGCACACACAGACCACAAAGCGAACACTCACACACTAGAAAACAAATCATTACCTCTCCCCCCAAACTGTTCATGGATTAGAGAGACTATGATGTTTCAAAAAGGTACAGTGGTGCAAAAGAAAAATCTATTTGAGTGAATGCAGTTGGCAGGTCGAAATAAAAAAATGTAGACTGCTGTTAAGGTCAAAACTTTTAGTTATTCTTTAAAAACAAGACTGACAATACCTACTTAAAAAATAGGCAACTGTCTCCGATGACACCGGATTTCTGAGACGACAAAGGCAGAAGAGACCTTGAAGACTATTTTCAGCAGACCCACCACCACCTCACATGGTATGCAATATACGGAGTACTAAGATCAAGCGTTCGTCCTGGATAATATTGCAATCGGTGAACCGAACTGAGCTCACACGTCCCCGCTCCTACCAGCGCTCTCAGTCCCCTAACCCTTCCCAACGCTAGACGGGATGGGCGGGTCAGGGGGAGGAGCGACGAGAGCCCGAGGAAGGCGTGAAGGAAGAGGGCCTAACGTCTCTCGGACATATAACAAACCCAGCCCCTGCCGCGGCATCCTTACCTTCCTGGATCTGCATCCCCTCATGGGCAGAGTGGAGCGGAGGAGCTCAGGCTCTGCTCCCGGCAGATGGGCAGGCACCCAGGCCTTTCCCGGTCAGCGCAGAAGCGCAGAGGGGCCGCCTCTTGGGGGCCTTCAACATTGGCCGGCGCTTCCGCGACGAAGCCCGAAGGGAGGGGCCGCTGAGGAGTGACTGCTTTAGGTGCCCAGCACACTGCCTGATCATAGCGCGTCCCAGAGTTGAGCTTCTGGTTCTGAGTATACCTTAGTAGAGCGTTATAAAAGGCCAGGTAACCAAAGGCAGGTGGCTGGACCGCGGAGGTGGTCAGGAGCACCGGGCACCCCCTGGTCCTGCGAGTCGCGAACTGTTGCAGCCGCCCGCCCCTTCCGGCTCCGCCCCTCAGTGTGCTAGGAGAGCGAGCTGACTCACCCGGTCCGTGGCCTTGGGAACTATGGTGCTTCCGAACATCCTGATCACCGGTTAGCGCGCGGCTGGGCGGGTGGGGCTGCCGAGTGCTCTAGGGCCTCGGCCGCCGAGGTGGGGGCCACCGGTGTTGTGTGCGGGGCCGCGTGTGTGACGGTCTCCAGGCCTGGGGCCTGGCCCTCGCGACCCTTTCGGGAGGCGGGAGAGGGGACGCGGAACGGTGACTCCGCCTCCGTGCACCTTGGCGAGGTGGAGGCGAGCCCAGCTTCCCTCGAAAACCATTGAATCTTACTGGATCTGATTTTTTGCTTTTAAAATGGGCGGTTGACTCTGGCAGGAATGGGTTTGGCGTTTAAGATACAAGATACCATGTGGCCCTTAGTAGATCTGTTAATGTTGGATGTCTCCCTCCTTAGGCCTTCTTCGGTCGTCTTTAATTTTCTTCTTTGCATCTGCAAACAGTTCACAGATGAGGTTTCTGTAAATGAGTTGGGTTGTTTGTGGCGTGATTAATCTGCTGCAAGTATATACTTTTGTTGAGTTAGTATCAGAGTGTTTTTTTTTTAATGTTAAGTCATCTGCTGAGCATTTCTCGACGTTTCTCATGAAGGAATGCTGTGAAGATACCGGACTAGTAGGGGGGTTTTCTGGTCTTTTGGAGCCATTCTCAGCTTGCATTTTATCAGTAAAGGAAACGAAAATACTGTACTGCGTAACAACCTTGTCACCGCTGCTCATTCAGTTCTGAAAATATTAACTTGTAGTAGTTAATAGCATCATCGTACACCCCTCTTGCAAAAAATCTAATAGGTGTAGATGCTGCCATAACAAATAAGTTTCTTTGTAACTTTAAAGTCACTTAAACATAAAATTCTTCAGCAAGACATGGGTCCTGTTTCTGAGTGCTGCAGCTTAAGCACTCAACGAGTAAGTATTTAGCCTTTTAAGATTTCATACAGAAAAGAGTTTCAGCAAGTAACATGGAGGGTTAGACATAATGCTCTGGTTTTTATTATTAAGCCATATTGTAGGAAATCTAGAGAGCATTTTATGGAAAATATGTTGAGTTCGGACCTAGCAAGTTCAAGGACAGCCAAGAAAAAAAAAACCAAAATAATAATAACTTCAGTGGTACTAAACCTGAAGAACCGAAAATTATATATTTGATTATGTATTTTAGAATAGTATTAGATATAAAAGGGAGAGACTAAAGAACAATGTATTGCCATTATTTAAAAGGGAATGTATGTTCTTTGTATGGGTGTGCACGATGTTATATATGTACACAAACACACATAAGACTTACTTGTAAAAGCATGTAAGAAACTGGTTTACAGCAATTCCCTGTAAGGAAGAGAATAGGAGTTTTTCCTTTTTTTTTTTTCTTGAGACAGGGTCTTGCTATGTAGTTAAGGTTGGCCTTGAACTCACTATATGTCCCAGACTGGCCTTGAACTTGTGACGATCCTCCCACCTCAGCCCCCTGAGTGTTGGGATTACAGGGTACAGGCTTGTGTGCCACCATGCCTGGCTTAATTCTGTAATTTTTATTTTTTATTTTTTGGCTTTTTGAGGCAGGGTCTTCCTTTGTAGTCCAGGCTGGCCCTGAACTCACTATGTAGCCCAGGCTAGCCTCGAACTCTTGGTGATCCTCCTGCCTCAGCCTCCTGAGTGCTGGGATTACAGGCGTGTGCCATCATGCCCAGTTTGTATTCTTTGGGGAGGGGGGTACTGGGGATCCAACTCAGGACCTTGCGCTTTCAAGGCAGGCAGTGGAACCACTAAGCTAAATCCCCAGCCCTGTAATCTTTTTTTAATTAAAGCAAATAAATAATAATTGATTTGAGATGGCTAATTTTAAATTAGTTCTGGGCAGTTTCATGTAGATGACACGCAGAATTGATAGTGAAATTGCCTGAGCCCCATCTGTTGGAAAATCATGCTGAGTAAGAGTCTGACCTCCAGTCATCTCCAGGAAATTGCAGTTAAGTCATAGTGTATATTCATATATGTTTGCTAATTAGGAAAATTTTTGCACAAGTTGTTAAGAACCTTAAGCGCAAAAGGTGGGTGAAGGCCAATAAGTCATATTTCACAAACAGTATTTTTCTATGGCTTGTCTTACAGGTACACCAGGAGTTGGAAAAACCACACTAGGCAAAGAACTTGCATCCAGATCAGGACTAAAGTACATTAATGTGGGTGATGTAGCTCGAGAAGGTAAGTGGCATAGAATAGTACCACTAGGAGTTGTGACAGGGTACAAAATTGTTTCTAAGGAATTTATGCTCTGTTGGGGACCCACAGAATTATGAAATAGCAAGGGTCCAGTGCTATGCCTGGGTCATTTTGACCATTTCCCTTCCAATCCCCAAAATGGCTGTCTTGTGAACAGTAATGATTGGTCTTCAGATAGATAGAATCTGAATATAAGGAAGAGAACATTTTGTGTTAAGTGGCGCTAAGCATATATATGAGATGATTTATTGCTGTTACTGGAGGGACAGATTATTTCGAAGTCAGGCAGTAGGATATGACTCCTATAGTAATTTTCTTACATTAGTTTGATAGTTGCATGCCCAGGTGCAGATACATACATTCTAAAGTGATATATCTTTTTACTTGTTTTCTGTTTTCCTCTAATTTTTATTCAGTCACCTGTTTGTCTTTCTCTTTTTATATTTTACAGTTAATACAGAGTAGGAACTCAATACATTTAAGTAAAGGGAACTTTTAAGTATACCTCATTAAAATTAAAAAGATGAGATATGTTATAAATTTTAAATATATTTTTAAAAATTTAACATTTAAAAAACATTTTAAGTTCCTAACAGTTGCTACTAAGGTGACTATTTCGGTGTGATCTAATGTACATATTTTTTTCAAACGATCGAAAGTCTGATCGGCGGATATCATGGAGTCTGGCAAGATGACTTCTCCCAAGAGCATGCCGAAAGATGCACAGATGATGGCACAAATCCTGAAGGATATGGGGATTACAGAATATGAGCCGAGAGTTATAAATCAGATGCTGGAGTTTGCCTTCCGATATGTAACCACAATTCTAGATGATGCTAAGATTTATTCAAGCCATGCCAAGAAAGCCACTGTCGATGCAGATGACGTGCGACTGGCAATCCAGTGTCGAGCTGACCAATCTTTTACCTCTCCTCCCCCAAGAGATTTTTTATTAGATATTGCAAGACAAAGGAACCAAACCCCTTTGCCACTGATCAAGCCATATTCAGGTCCTAGATTGCCACCTGATCGATACTGCTTAACGGCTCCAAACTACAGGCTCAAGTCTTTACAAAAAAAGACATCTACTTCTGCGGGAAGAATAACAGTTCCGCGGTTGAGTGTTGGTTCAGTTACTAGCAGACCAAGTACCCCAACACTAGGCACCCCGACCCCACAGGCCATGTCTGTTTCAGGCAAAGTAGGGGCTCCAGTGTCCCTCACTGGGCAGAGGTTTACGGTGCAGATGCCTGCCTCCCAGGCCCCTGCTGTAAAAGCCTCCATTCCTGCAACTTCAGCAGTCCAGAATGTTCTGATTAATCCATCATTAATTGGGTCCAAAAACATTCTTATTACCACTAATATGGTATCATCACAAAATACTGCCAGTGAGTCATCAAATGCATTGAAAAGAAAGCGTGAAGATGATGATGATGATGACGATGATGACTATGATAATTTGTAATCTGCCTCTATGCATGTAACATATACTTGGTCTTGAGTCCTTTGTACTGAGATTAAGCATGCTGGATGTTTTCAAGTTCTGTTTTAGAAACTGTAAATAGTATTTAATGAGTAAATTTAGACACTTTAATTGAAATGTTGGGTTTTCTTTTATAGGAAACTAATGATTTTTTTATCAACCTTTATGTGTAAAAAATAAAGTTCTCGTTCACCAGTTTGATCGTTGGTGCTTTGACAGTTATACTTTAAAAGTAATTTCTCCCTCTTTGTCTTTGTGAGAAATGATGGATGCAGTTATTGAAGTTTTTGCAGTCTGTTCATTTGAACTAGAATGTCACCTCTAGTGTCTTCAGAGGTTCGCCTCATAACCTCTGATGTGTTAAGTTGCTTTTATGGTATCTTATCTCAGAGTGCTGAAATTTAAGCAGGACTCCTCTTTGAAGAGACCACTTGGGTAGGATTTTTATTCGTAGTGAATTTTAATTTACTTAGATTTTATCTTCTAGAGTTCGACACAGACACAGACACACAGACACACACACACACAGACACACACACACACACACACACACCCTGCCCTGTACCAGGGATCGAACTCAGGACCTTGCACTTGCAAGGCAGGCACTGCGCCACTGAGCTAAATATCTTTTTGGCTATATTTTGGTTATATTTAAATACTCTTATTTCTCCCAGGCCTCTTCCACTATTTAAAAACGGGGCTTTTTTTGTTTTGGTTTGGTTTGGTTTTTTTGCAGTTCAGTTTTGAGATTTTGGGTTTTGTTTGGTTTGATTTTGGTTTTTTGAGACAAAGTCTTCCTACGTAGTTCATACTCATGTATCCCAGGCTGGCCTCAAACTCATGGTGATCCTTCTGCCTCAGCCTCCTGAGTGCTAGGATTACAGGCATGTGCCTCCACGCCCAACTCAAATTTTATTTTTTCATGATGCTAAAAATCAAACAGCCTTATACATGCTAGTCATGCACTCTACCAGTGAGCTACACACTTAGCCCCTCAGTTTTTCTTTTGAAGTGGTAATACATTTTAAGGAAAATTAAGCAGTCCTCTATAAAGCATTTGTTCTCCACTGCAGATGATTTTTGTGGTTATTGCATCTGTGGAGGGAGGTGATTAAGGTTTGCTATTTAACATTGAGCTAGTAGAGGCCAGAGAAGCTGCTGAACAGCCTACAGTTTACAGGTCAGCCCCCTTTCTTATGATAGTTACCTGGCTCAAAATGTCAGGAGGATTTATGTTCAGAAATCCTGCTATAAAAAAATGAGGCTTAAAAAGCCCAACTAACTACCTGGTCTCCCACCCCAAGAGTCAGGGACTTCACACTGAGCTACATTCCCAGTCCTATTTTAATTTTGAGGTAGGGTCTCACTAGGTTGCTCAGGTGGAACTCGAGCTCACCATTACAGTGCGTGCAAACCACCTGATTTTTTTAAAAGGGAGTTTATTGGGCCCAGGATGTCTGCCTGACAAGTGCAAGGTCCTGGGTTTGATCTCCCGGTACTGAGAAAAAGTATTTGCATCCTAATAATCATGTTAAATTGCTGTATAATTTGTAAGAGATCAGTCTTATCTGTATGGAACAAGGACAGGGGTGAAAATAGGTGGGAAATTCAGCTTAGGAAAACTATTTGGAGCTCTAAATGATTGTTGCTGCTGCTGCCTCTTCCTTTCCCCTGCCTCCCTTTCCCCCCTCCTCCTTTTTTTTCTTGAGACTTCAAGGTCTCACAGTGTTGACCAAGCAGATCTCAAACTCCTGGACTCAGCCATTTCTTCTGCCTCAGCCTCAAGTATCAGGAATGGTGAAGAATCCTTCTCTTAGCCTATTTTTACAGTCTCAGATTCCTACTGCCATCCTTTCCCACATCCAAGTATCTTGGTCTGATTAGCATCCTTAACTTTGTTGCCACCAGCTTATCAGCATGCAGCCTGTTCCTAAACCTGAAGTAGGCATACACTGGTCAAGGCAAAGTAATGCAGTGGTGTTGGGTCCATCTCAAATAGGGGTTGTAAAACAGCCAGGTTCTTGTGTACATGTGCATGCGCTACTACTAAGCTACACTTATGTGTGTGGTGCTAGGGATTGAACCCAGGGCTTCAGGGATGCTAATCAAGTGCTGTACCACTGAGTTACATACTCATTCCTTTTAAAGAATTTTTTTTTTTTTGTACCGGGGATCGAACTTGGGTCCTTGCACTTGGGAGGCAGGCGGTGGAACCACTGAGCTAAATCTCTGGCCCAAGAATTTTTATTTTGACACGGGGTCTTACTCAGTTGCCCAGGCTATCCTTTAAAACAGCCCAGTTTCAGTAGACAGTATTATACACCTGTAAATCAGTTTCTTGGGAGGCTGAGGCAGGAGTGCATGTTCAAGGGCAGCCTGGGCAGCTTAGTGAGACCCTGTCTCAAAAATAAAAAGGGCTTGGGGTATAACTCAGTGGTAGTACTTGCCTAGCATGTATGAGGCCCTGGTTTTGATCCCCAGTACTGGGCAAAACAAAACAAATATGACAGTCCAATTTTAAGACATCCTGTAAACATAACCACCTATTAAAACACATACTCTGAAGTTATCCTTGACTCCGCTTGCGCACTCCTGGATCCTGGTTCCCACATATACATGCTCACTCTCCACACAGATCCACTTGGCCTCTAAATCATTATAGTTTTTCTGAAACGTCTGTATAGTGTTCCCCTGTCATTTTCACAACTATTGTTACCATGCCTAAATTTCCTACTAATTTCACTACAGCCGGGTGTGGTGGGGCACATATGTAATCCCAGCACTTGAAGGCTGAGGCAGGAGAATTGCCAGAATTCAAGATCAGCTGGGTGAGTTCAAGGTCAGCCTGAACTACATAAACCCTGTCTCAAAAACAAAAAACCTCTTCGATATAGCTTCCCTCCTTACACTATTCCTTAGAAAAAGGTGGGAGGGAGAGAGAATAACAGGATTTGAACTCTTTCTGACATAATGTGTATAAACTTGCTACATTTTATTCTTTGTCCTTACAGCCACTCACCCTTATTTCCCACCATGCACTGTTTTCAAACACACTGGGAATTTTGTTTTTCATTACCTGGGGATTGAATTGCGACCATTCACACTGAATTCACACAGCCCTTTTTTGGGGGGGGTAACGGGGATCGAACTTGGGACCTTGTGCTTGCGGGGCAGGCAGCAGAACCACTGAGCTAAATCCCTGGCCCAACACAGCCCATTTTTTAAAAGAACTGAATTGAGGGCTGGGGATTTAGCTCAGTGGCACCACTCCTACCTCACAAGCGCAAGGTCCTGAGTTTGATCACCGGTACTACAAAAAAAAGAATTGAATATTTAATATCCCCCACCCCACCCCCAGTAAGCAAAGCAAACTTATTCTTGGTATATCAAATTGAATTCTAGGAATATAATAAAGTCTGGCTTGGAAATATAGAAAAAGACTGAATTAACATACACCATGCATTATTTTAGGGTTTTTTTCTGAACTATACATTGACATCTAACTTGTCTGATAGCAGATGCTGCAGCCCATGTTTTAAATTTTTTTGAGACAAGATCTTGCTGAGCTGTGTAGGCTGGACCTAAACATACGATTAAGTATGCTTCCGCCTCCCAGAGTGCTAGGATTACAGCATGCGCCACCGTGTCCTGCTTGCCTCTGCTGTTCTCTTTGCCAGGAGATGCCCCCTCTATCAGCCTTGCCAACAACTCAAAGGCACAGTCAGATGTCACATCTCCAGCTCTGTCTCGGGCAGGATTACTGTGATCCTGCCTCACCTGCAGTAACTCCATGCCATCTCCTGTGGCTTCTGGGCTTGGTTCTGTCCAACTCATTCTCCACCCACAAACCAAAATGGTTTTTAAAATATTTGAAATTGATCACAATTTACATCTAAAATGCTTTTGTGAACGTCTTTGCCTTACAATAGTTTCAGCTCCTTAATTTGGCTTTGAAGGTCTTTTTGTTCTGACCTCAGCTTACTTGACCCCTTTGCACTTATTTATTTTCTAATTGTTCTGAAAGACTTTCCCTCCCTTGAAAAGACCTACTGTCCCTGGGTTCTCTAGCTCTGGCTATCTTGTTTTCTCAGGTTAAAATACTCTTTGTCACCTTCTCCTCCCTAGCTCACTGCCTCAGGTTTTTCCTTAGAAGTCACCTTGTCCAGGAAGCTTCCCCTAATAAGTTAGGCTTATGTTAGGTGTTCATCTTGCTGCTCCTACAGCACCATGAGCCATGACAATAAAGTAGAGTAAACTTTCCAGGTGAGTTGTCTGTTCTCTCCCATTTTATTGTAAACTCTGTTTTTGAAACACTGGATAAAAATGGCCCAGGGGTATTAGCTCAGTGTGAAGACCCTAGGTTCAATCCCCAGTGCCACCAAAGAATAATAATAATGCTAAAGATATCTACTTTATACACATTCTTGAAGATTTCAGTATGATCTTGAACACATGCTTAAGTATTTGCTACTACATAGTACAGTAATGATTAAAGATATTCTGAGATTTCACGGTACTGTTAAAAAAAAGTGCAGCTGGCTCACTGCATCCAAAGAGCCAAATGTGAATTGAAAATATTTTTTAAAAAGGAGCTGGTTGGCCAGGAATGTAGCTCAGTGGCACAGCGCCTGCCTGGCAGGCAAGCGAGAGGTCCTGAGTTTGATCCCTGGTACCAGGAAGGAAAAAAAAAAAAAAAGAGCTGGGGCAGTGGCACAGACCTATAATCCCAGCTACTTGGGGAGACTGAGGCAGGAGGATCTCTTGAGTCTAAGAATTTGAGACCAGCCTGGGCAACATAGCAAGATCTTGTCTCAGAAGAAAGTATTAAAAAAAAATTTTTATCTGTGTTGAACATGTATAGACATTTTTCCTTTAGCAATATAGTATAAGAACTACTTCCATAGCATTTTATGTTTTTTGAGGTATTTTAGTAATCTAGAGGATCTTAGATTATATGCAAATCATTTTATATAAGAGACTTCAGCACTAGGACATTTTGGAGCAATCTCCCATGGATATTGAAGTATGCTTTTAAAATAATACATGAAAAAAATACTTGAATCCTACTAAGTTTTATCTTTTTTTCTCATCTTTGTGCCTATTGCAGACAACTTTGAATTCTGGTTTTTATGCTTTACACTTGTATATATGAGCATTTATCATGTTACTACTGGTTTATACTACATCCATTTTGGGGGTTTGTTTGTTTGTTTGGTGGTATTATGGGGAACCCAGGGCCTCTGCTCTGAGCTATATCCCCAGTCCTTCTTTTTTATTTTTTGAGACCGGATCTTGCTAAATTGCCTAGGGTGGGCTCTGACTTTTGATCCTCCTGCCTCAGCCTCCTAGAGTCCTGGAATTACAGGTATTGCCACCAGGCCTGGACAAGACTTTAGCTCCTGAGAGGAATGACATATGAATACTGGAAATCAGTTCAGTGGCATCTGTATATTTATTCCTCAACCTTCGTGAAAACGTGAGCTCAGTGGCAGGTTTGCTTCTAGAATCAGGAGCCTGGGGTTCCTTTGGTGTTTCATCTCCTTGGCCTAATAAATCCAGAACTTAACCTGCTCTTAATGCTTGTAAGGATGTTTGTATCTGTCCACATTTCCTCTTCCTTCCAATCTATAGATCAACAACAATAACAAAAAGCATTACTGTATCTTATAACCTACAAATCTGGTGTGGCTATTCACTCTTTTTAGTTGGTTTCAACTTTGAAATTGAAAAGTTTCAGATACTTCTTGGCAGGGCTGTAGACTCACTTTTAATCCCAGATACTTGGGAGGCTGAGGCAGGAAGATCAAGAGTTTGAGACCAGCCTGAGTAACTTACTGAGACCCAGCTCAAAACTTAAATTTAAAAAGTGCTGAGGATTCAGCTCAGTGAGTGCAAGGCCTGGTTTCAATCCCCAGTATCACAAAGAAGTTTCAGATCTATTGCTGCCCAGGTTTCCCACTAGACATGATTTCTTTTTTTTTTTTTTTGGGGGGGGGGTACCAGAGATCGAACTCAGGCCCTTGAGCTTGCTAGGGAGGCAGTGAAACCACTGAGCTAAATTCCCGGCCCTAGACATGATTTCTAGTATTGCTTTTTACATTTTATGTCCATGTAACATCTGTTATATTAGTGCCCTCTTTTGCACTAAAAGAGTCTCAAAGAATGATTGGTGATACAGTTTCTGAAGTCTAGAATGAATTGAAAATTAGTGAAAGTTAACACCACTATTTTAATGAGCTAATGTAAATCTCTTTTAGGGGCATTATATAATGGCTACGATGAAGAGTATGAGTGTCCCATTTTAGATGAAGAAAAAGTAAGTATGACTTTGCATAAAATATGTATTTGTTGAATTTAATAGGAATGTTGACCTCATTTTTCTTAGGAAACATCTTTGTTTTTTTTTAACCTCTCTTACAGGTAGTTGATGAGTTAGAGAACCAAATGGCAGAAGGTGGAGCTATTGTTGACTACCATGGTTGTGATTTCTTTCCTGAACGATGGTTTCATGCAGTTTTTGTGTTGAGAACAGATAACAGTATATTGTACAAAAGACTTGAAACAAGGTAAGAGAACATTGAATCCTTAAAATATAACATACACTCTCTTTTTGAGATTCCTGAAATTGGCCAGTACTACCATGAAAAGGGATTCTTTTGGAAGTTGTGACTACTTTATTTGGTCCCCTGTTGTAAACCAAATTTATGAGGGCTGGGCATGGTGGAGCATGCCTGTAATCCCAGCACTCAGGAGGCTGAGACCAGAGGATTACCAAAATTCAAGGTGAATTCAAGGCCAGCCTGGACTACAGAATGAGATCTTGTCTCAAAAAACCAAAATATAAAAATTAAAAACTTAAAAATAAACTAAATCTATGTGGCACTGTCATTCTGACAGAAGACAGATTTGCACATTTAAAAGACCCAGGTAAGTACTTTCTGAGTAAATGAATATCTCAGTTGACAATTGGATCCAGTAAAATAAACTGTGTAGCACTGTTGGCCAACCTATGGCATGCATATTATTGTGTGTTTTTCTTTTTAAAACAAAAGATGTTAATGTATGAGTTGTTTTTTCTAAACTAAAACCTCAGTATTCACGATTAATTGGAGTGTTGGCACTTTGTGATAAATAAGTGGGTTTTTGGTTGCAGTTTGGGCACTCGTCTCTAAAAGGTTTGCCATCATTGCTCTACAGAAACCCCATTTATGGGCGGGGGATTTAGCTCAGTGGTTTTGCCGCCTGCTGTGCAGGCACAAGGACCCGAGTTCGATCCCCGGTACCAAAAAAAAAAAAAAAAGAAAGAAAGAAACCCCATTTAGCCATGCTTTTTCTTTGATAAAAGGAAAAAAGGATTTTCCTTCCTAGGAAAAGAGCCAGGTCACTAACAGTGTTTGCTTAAATGTCACCATTAAGCCCACGTGAAGCTGGGCGTGATGGTGCACACCTGTAATACCAGCTGTAAATCTATAGGGAAAGTGAGGTTGAGTGAGGTTAGACCAAAAACTGTAATCTTTTCTTTAGGCAGTGAAAAGTCATTAAAGTTTTTTGACTATTGGGGCTAGGGTTGTAGTTCAGTGGTAGAGCAAAAAAGAGAGAATTTTTTTTTCTTTGAGTAGAGAAATAGTAGAGACCATGTGGTACATAACCTTTTTTCAATAAAGACAATTTAAGGTCTCACATTAGCAGATTTTCCCGCTATCCCAGATTCCACATCTTTTTTCCCCCTTTTTGTTATACTAAGGATTGAACTACATTCTGTTTTGACCCTGTGGAGAAGATTCATGAAAGCCTTCTACAGTGTAACTTCAACCTGATTTACTACTTGTCAACTGTCTACCAAATTGTTCCTGAGATTCTCCATGATGCAGACAGAGATGAGATGAGGGTGTCTTCCGATCTCTATTAGTCATGTATCTTTCTCATGGGTTTTGATATCTTTTATTATAATGACCATTAGAAAAATTCCAATTCCTGGGCTAGAGATGTGGCCCACTGGTAGAACTCTTGTCTAATTATGTCCAAGACCCTGGGTTCAATCCCTAACACCAGGAAGAGAGACAGAGAAAGAAAAGAAAAAAACCCTCTCCACATACATACTCTTAATATTCCATCTTTTAAGAAATAGAAAATAGAAACATGTATTCAGTTCTAAGGCTGAACTCAACAATCCTCCTGATTTGGCCTCTGGGATTACAGGTCTGCATTACACACTGTCCTAGGTGGATAGCCTTACTTAAAGTAGTTCTAGCTGCTGGGTGTGGTGGCACATGCCTATAATCCCTGCACTCAGGAGGCTGAGGCAAGAGTATCACCATGAGTTCAAGGCCAGCCTGGACTACATAGTGAGACCGTGTCTCAAAAGAAAAAAAACTGAAAGGCCGGGAATTGAGCTCTCAGTGGTGCCAAGCCTGCCTCACAGATGCAAGGTCCTGAGTTCAATCCCCAGTACTGGGGAAAAAAACAAACAAACAAAAAGAAAAGAAAACTTGAAGTCCTCTTGCCTTTTGCCTCAGCCTCTCAAAGTGCTGGGACTACAGTCTATCAGGTGTTTGAAAGTGTGACCAAGAAATATAATGTGACGAACGATATGATGAGTCTGGGCATGCATCATGTTTGGAAAGATATGCTGCTGTGGAAGATGAACCCATTGCCTGGGACTTAGCTACTCGGTGTTGCTGGAGGCACAGGTGACATTGCATTCCGGTTCCTTAATTATGTTCAGGCACAGCATCAAAGAAAGCAGAAGAGGCAGTTAAAGGCCAAACAAAATTTATCCTGGGAGGAAATTGCCAAAAAGTATAAGAATGAAGAAGATCCCTTGGGTGGTTCCGGTGTCATGATCTGTGACATCAACAGGGAGATGCTAAAGATGGGGAAGAAGAAGGCCTTTCACCAAGGACATAAAGCTGGACTTGCATGGGTACTGGGAGATGCTGAAGAACTGCCCTTTGATGATCACAAGTTTGATGTTTACACCATTGCCTTTGGGATCCGGAATGTCACACACATCGACCAGGCACTCCAAGAAGCTCATTGGGTCCTGAAGCCTGGAGGAAGGTTTCTGTGTCTGGAGTTTAGCCAAGTAAACAATCCCCTCATATCCAGGCTTTATGATCTATATAGCTTCCAGGTCATTCCTGTCCTAGGAGAGGTCATTACAGGAGACTGGAAGTCCTATCAATACCTTGTGGAGAGTATCCAGAAGTTCCCATTTCAGGAAGAATTCAAGGAGATGATAGAAGATCCAGGTTTTCAAAAGGTGACTTATGAAAGTCTTACTTCAGGCATTGTGGTCATTCATTCTGTCTTCAAACTTTAGCTCCTTTTCCTATTATGGAGAGAGATCCAGTCATATACTGTTGAAAGCCTGGAACCGAAGGATAATCCAACTTATGGACAGCAGCTGAGCATCTCCTATTAAGGATATGAACCTGGGCTCATGTTCTGAAGCAACCAAAGAGAAAGAAACAAATTCCTGTCTTTTGGTAACTTTCATTAGAAGCTGCTTGGACCTTTAAAAAAAAAAATTTAAAATTGTGATTAAAACATTACTATTTTAGGTAAATAGCTAAGAGCAAGGTATTTTTAAAAAACCTGTATCGGAGCTAGTCAGTATTTTTGGTTTTGGGGCTGAGAATGTAACCCAGTGGCACCTTGCATGCCTGGCAAAAGCAAGGTCCTGAGTTCAATCCCCAATACTGGGGGGAAAAAAATATTTTTTTGGTTTTTATCCATTGAAAAAAATTACAAAGCTTATCACCTTTTTTATATTGGATTAAAGACACTTTATTATTTCTACGTACAGAAGACTCAAGAGTACGTGTAGCCCAGTTAAGTGACAAATTGTTTAGCCTTTGCCTTGTGAGCCACACGTGTGGGACCCAGGTCGTAGCCTGTCCAGTGGCGTCAGATGCCAACGTATCTGCCATGGTAGTGGGTCCTGATGGCTTGCACCAGGTGTTACTGAGATATAACTCACACACCATATACTTTACCCATTTGTTTTTAGTATATTACAAAGTTGTACAATCATTGCTGCAATTTTACAAAATGTTTGTTTCCTCAGAAAGAAACTTTGTACCCATTAGCATCACTCAGCATTTCCTTAGGCTCCCAGGCCTGGGCACTCAGTAATCTGTTTTCTTTTCCTCTGATTTGCCTATGCTAGATATTTCATAGAAATGAATAATATAAGATGTGGTCTCTTGTGTCCCATCATAATGCTTTTAAAGTTCTATTTTTTTTTTTATTGGTAAAAGTGTTATTTTAATCTGTGGACATTTGGGTTGTTTCCACTGTTGACTATTACAAATATTGCTGCTATGAACATCAGTGCACATTTTTTGTATCTGTTTTCCTTGGAAATATACGTAGGAATTTAATTGCTGGGTAATATGGAAACGCAGTGTTTAACCTTTTGAAAAGCTATCAGAAAAAAAAAAAAAAGAAAGAAAAGCTATCAGATTGTAAAGTGGCTACAACACTGCATATGAATACTGCTATATATAAGGGTTCCAGTTTTCCACATCCTCACCAACCAGCATCTGTTATTTGGGTTTAGGTTGTAGTCATGTGTGGATATGAAGTAGTATTTCACCGTGGTTTTGTTTTGCATTTCCTTGATAGCTAATAATGTTGAGACCCGGCCTCGGGGCACAGGCCTGTGATCCCAGCACTCAGGAGGCTGTGGCAGGAGGATTGCCCCAAGTTCAAGGCCCATCTGAACTACACAGACCATCTTGAAAAAACAAAAACACAAAAAGAAAAAAAGACCAAAACCAAAAATGATGTAGAGCATATTTTCATGTGCTTATTGGCCATTTGTGTATCTTTTTAACAGATGTATCTGTACAGATCCTTTACTCAGTTTTTTTGTTGTTTGGTTTTTTTTGGGGTGCTACAGTTTGAACCCAGGTCTCAAGCGAGTGGTAGAAGCAAGTGTTCTGCCACTAATTTTTGATCGTTACAAGGTTTAACTAATTTGCTGGGGGTTTTTTTTCTTCTTCTTAAGGACAGGTTCTCACTATATTGCTAAATTACCCACACTGGGCTCAAATTTAGGATCTACCTGCCTCAGCCTCCCAGAATGCTGGGATTACAGGCATGTAGTAGCAAACCTAGGTGGATTTGAATGTTTTTTTTAAGGAAGAGAGATTTATTTTGGCTTACAGTTCAGTCCATACTTGGCTGGCTCCAGGGCCTGAATTTGAGTTTTTAACTAGTTACTTAGCTAATTTACATATTTGCCTAAAGATTACAAAAGTTAATTTATCACAATTCATTTTATATATTCCACCTATTTTATCTTAATTCTTTTAGAATCTAGAACCATTACTATACTCCTTTATGTCATAGCTGAAAATTTGACTTGAGGTAGGTAGGTACCAGTTTGATAACAGGTAACTGAGTAGTGAAAAACTGTGGGAAAACTTCAGACAAACCTAAATTTAGTCTCATAGTTCTTAGTTTAGCCTTTTTGTCAAGTTTCTTACACTTATAGGTGCTAGCTTGTTTTATCTAGGTAAAGAGATTTTGAGAAATATTTTGGGGGTGATTTCTTTTTTTGAGACAGACTTTTGCTAGGTAATCCAGGCTGGCCTTGAACTCACTGTGTATCCCAGGCTGGCCTCAAATTTGCAGCAATCCTCCTGCCACAGCCTCCTAAGTGCTGGGATTATAGGTATCCACCACCGTGCCCGGCAAAGGGTGATTGTGAACTGAGCACAATGACGCACACCTGTAAGCCCAGCGTTCTGGGAGGGTGAGGCAGGAAATCCAAAGTTTGAGCCCAGGCTGGGCAATTTAGCAACTTAGTGAGACTGAGTCTGTCTAAAAATCAAAATAATAAAAGATTCTGGGGATGTAGCTCATTGCAAAGGCCCTGGCTTCAATCCTCAGTACTGGTAAATAAATAAATAAATGGTCCAGTTTCTGGTATGTTTCTAAAACCTAAAACTACAGTTAATACCACTCAGTTTGTTTTTGTTTGCTTAACCTCTCTTTGCCTTCAAGGAGTTATAATGAGAAGAAACTAGGAGACAATATTGAGTGTGAGATTTTTCAAGTTCTTTATGAAGAGGCCATGTTATCATACAAGGAAGATATTGTGCACCAGCTGCCCAGCAATACGCCTGAAGAGCTAGAGGACAACATAAACCAGATCTTGAGATGGATTGAGCAGTGGGTCAAAGGTCACAACCCGTGACTGGTCACTTGGTGGCGCCTCTTTGCACGGCCTCCAAGTATCTGTAAAAACCAAAACTATGTGGAAGGCCCAGCAGGTATTTTTATGCCTGGGTTTCTTTTTCTCCATGAGAAAGTTAAACAATCACAAATACAATGAATACAATTATTATTAAGCATTTAAAATACGCATCAGTTGCTAAACAATAAATCTGATCAAATGGGTAGTATCTTTTAAGTTTATTACAAAAGAAAATGCAGTTGATCTCTTAAATGCTAAAGATAAATCATCAGGGTATTCCTCATTTTTTCTTTCTGTAAAAAAGAAATTGGAAGTGGTAATACTTGCACTCTGCAAAACTCAGAAGGTCCAGGGCCGGGGATTTAGCTCAGTGGTTTCACCACCTGCTGCGCAAGCACAAGGACCTGAGTTCGATCCCCGGTACCAAAAAAAAAGCAAAACTTCAGAAGGTCCAAAGCAGTACACTGAAAGGGTAGCTTTCCCTTCCTGTACCCAGGAAACTATGTCAGTGGTTTCCTGTTTATCTTTCCAAATATTTTATGCCTGTAGAGCATGTTTGTATACATTTTTTAGAGTATGGTAGCATATCATGCACACTGTTCTTTTCTTTTTTTATTTAATATATTTGAAGACTATAATTTTGGTATAATCTCAGAAAATAGACTTCCTATCTTTTTTTTTTTTTTTTTGGTATCAGGGATCAAACTCCAGACCTTAACACTTTTGAGGCAGGTGGTGGAACCACTGAGCTAAATCCCTGGCCCCCTATCTTTTTTTTTAATTGTCACACACAATAAATTCACCACCTTAAGTACACAACCAGGCCAAGGGGTAGAGTGCTTACAGGCCCTGGGTTAGATCCTCTGCACTCCCAATGAAGTGTACAATTCACTGCTTTTTAGTACATTCACAAGGTTATCCAACAATTACCACTAATTCCAGGACATTTTTGTCCCTCCCTGAAAAGAAATTCTATACCCATAAGTGATCTTTCCCCATTCTTCTCTCCTCCCAGCCGATGACAGTCACTACTTACATCCTGTCTGGATGGATTTGCATATTCTGGACCTCTTGCACAAATTAAATCATCTAAATTATATCATTCCTTTTTATGGCCAAATCATATTTCATTATATGGGCATGCCACATTTTGTCCTTTCCATCATTGCACCATTGGGTTGTATCCTCTTTGGGTATTATAAAGTAGCATACTTGATAGCAGCATCCCATGAACATTCGTGTATAAATTTTTTGATGTTTTCAGTTCTCTTGGGTATAATTTAGGGAAATTCCCAGGTCACAGGGCAACTATGTTTAATATTTATTTATAAGGTTATACAAGCACCACCAATCATGTCCCTCTGCCTCTCTCCCCTTTTTATTTTGAGATGGATTCACTATGTAGCTCAGGCTGGCTTCCAGTTCATAATCCTACCTCAGCCTCCTGAGTGCTGGGATCACAGGTGTGCACTACCACACTACACTCCTCACCTTTTGAAGTTGGCCTTGTGCAGGCAGGCAGGCAGGCAGGCAGGCAGGCAGGCACTCTACCACTGAGCTTTATCCCCAGCCAGTGTTTAACTTAAGATGCCAAACTTTCCCAGGTGGTTGCATCATCTTATGTTCCCACTATCAATATATTATTGACCCAATTTCTCCACATCTGTGCCAACATTTGTTTCTTTTAGCTATACTAGTGTGTCATATGTCACTTTAGTTTTGATTAACATTTTCCTAATTTTTTTTCATCAGTGGGACAAAATACCCAAAGCTAGCAACTTAGAGGATGAGAGATTTATTTTGGCTCAGTTTCAGTCTATGGTCACCTGGCTCAGAGGGGCATAGTGGAATAAAAACTGCTTAACCCATGGTGGCCAGGAAACAGAGAAGGGAGGACCTGGGACAAGAATATGCACTTCCAAATCATGCTCCCAGTGACTTCCCTCTTCTGACCACATCCTTCCTCCTAACAGGACATGCTAAGTATAGTATCCCCACAGTCTAGTCAACTTCCACACACAAGACTTTGGGGAGACCTTTTAGATCTAAACCATAATACCAAAGGACCAATGATGTTGAGTATCTTTTTTTTTTTCCTTTTGGTCTTTTGAGACAGGGTTTTGGTTTGTAGCCCAGGCTGGACCCAAACTCACAGCAGTCATCTTGCCTCAGCCTCCCAAGTGCTAGGATTACAGGCGAGTGCCACACACCTGATTTTTTTCTTGAAATGGGTTCTCACTGTTATTCATGCTGCTCTAGAACTCTGGACCAAGTGGTCCTTTGGCCTCAGCTTCCCTAATGATGGATATTTAGGTTGTTTGCAGCTTTTTCTATCACAAACAGTAATGCAAGGATGATGGGCAACATTTGTATACTACTATACCATCCAGTCTTCCAAACATATTTCAAAAGTGAACTTAACCTTGAAGAAGCATTTGGTTCCCCAAAAAGATTTTTATTTTTGATGTTAGGGATGAACTCCAGGACTGTGCATGATAGGAAAGCACTCTGCCTTTGACTTGTCACTATATGGGGTGCAAGAAGTGCCACCATTGAGGAGATGGGGACCTCAACTCACCCTGCCATTAAGTTCTTGACTTTCATCATGGAAGAAGAACTTCATGGAAAAAGTTTGCATCAATAAGAGGCATAAGCAGAGTCAGAAAGGAAGAATATTAAAAGGGCTCTACAGCTGGGGATTTAGCTCAGTGGATCCAGCGCCTGCCTCGCAAGCACAAGGTCCCGAGTTTGATTTCCGGTACTAAAAAAAAAGGACTCTGGCTTGAGCAGCGGGAGAGGGCTCTCCTCATGAAGAGGTTCAGACTGACCCACTCACAAAACAAGTCAACTTCTATCATAGATTACCTGAGGGAGGCCAGGGTCTGATGGGTCATTATCTCAGTTCTGGTTTCATAGCTCCAGAGAAACCCTTATGGCTTACAGGGTAATCAGTTCCCATGAGATAAGTGTTCTTGCTTGGGAGGGGTGACATCATGGGGTGGTCTGTGAGGCTCTGCCTTTCCGGGAATCTGAGCTGACTGCAGGTCTGGGGATTTCTAGACATTGCTCCAGAAAGGTTTGGAATTGGACATTGTAAGAGCTGGCAATGGGATGTTTCTCCAAACAATGAAGATAACTTCATTTACTCTTGTCTGCTTGTCCTTAGTCTTACAGGTTTTTTTGTTTTTGTTTTTTTGCTTTTTGGTACCGGGGATTGAACTTGGGACCTTGTGCTTGTGCAGCAGGCGGTGAAACCACTGAGCTAAATCCCCGGCCCTCATTTAGTTGACTTTTTATTCAGACATTGGGCTCTGTTGACCCAGGGATGATAGAAACAAGAGTAGGCCAAATATTCCAAGTGCACACGCACATTCCTGCTTCACCTGAGAAATCTGCAACTGGTTCAGAAAGTGACTAAGCTGCTGCGCTCAGAATAAACGGGAGCAGGTTTTTATTGATTTGTGGGGTTGGGCTAGTCTGGTAATTTCCACTGGCCAGGCACATGGTTCCAAAAGTATTTCTTTTTGTGACACTTGGGCCACCAGGTGGTTACCGTCAACTCATCCTAGAGGGTGTTGAATTTTCATGTATCTGGCATCTTCATCCTGCTAAAAACATCCTGGCCTCATGGGTCTGAGTGCTGTAATAAGGCTGAATGACTTCAGGCGCTCGGGGTTTAGTGTCTTGTGAAAAAGCAAAAGGGTAGGGGCCGAAAAGGAGAGGAGTGAAAAGAAAACTTACCAGCTCTAAATTAACCCTGCACTGTAGTCTTGAACAAAGTATTTTCAAGTGCTCACCATGTCTACGTGTAGAATCTGACCCCAGTGTTAAGAGAGCAAAGGAGACCCAATCAGTATGAAGACAGACGCCAAGCCTTTCATCTCACTTCAGTCCCTCATCAGAGATCTGTGAAAGATCAGGCTCCTGCTTTCTGGGAAGTAATCCAGGCAAACGGGTATCATAATGCACAAGTCAGGAGTTATCTACAGGAAAGCTACTGTGAAACTTATCAGGTATTGCCCAGCTGTGTGACTTCCAAAATTAGTTAAGTTGACTAAGAGCAAGTCCCCCCCGCCTTGGCAAAAATGTCTCATTTCTATTTTTAATTAATTAATTAATTTTTTGGTACCGGGGATTGAACTTGGGTCCTTGTGCTTGCGCAGCAGGCGGCGAAACCACAGCTAAATCTCTGGCCCTGAAATGTCTCATTTCATACAAACATTCTGCTTCTGTGGTTTTATCAGGGTCTTCATGATGTGTCCAAGGCAAAAGTAGCTGCTGATCCATATCTTACATTAGGAGCAGATTCCGCTAAAATACTAGCAAGAAGTAAAAAAAAAGCCATACTCATGACCCAGTGGAAAGTTCCCAGGCCCTGGTGCACCCCAGTGAGGCCCTAAAAGCTAAGCTCATTTTTTGTGAATGGGCAGTCAGAGCTCAGGGCTGTGCCCCCCATCCCACCCTCAGGTCCTCCAGCTAAAGCTCCTTCTCCACCCCCTCTCTACGCCGCCAAGGAGGATTTGCCGATAGGCTCGCTGTGGCTTCCGTCTTAGCTGCCACTAAAACGGGAGAGCGCTTGAGTTGCCCCTGGCCCGCATCCGCGCTCACCGTCGTCTTCCAGTCTCCCTCTGAGACCGTCACCCCTACCTCGGTTACCCACAGCCGCCTCTGTAGCTGGAGTGCGACCTGCCGAGCACCCAGCTACCGGCGGCACGGAGGCCGCGCGTGCGTGCGCGATCCCGGGCTCGCGGACGCGCGAGCTGAAGCTTCTGCGCTGGGCGAGGGGGCGCGGGGGCGCGGGGGCGCGGGGGCGGCAGTAGCGAGCGACCCGGGCGTGGGCACGAGGGTTTGGGACCAGCGGCAAACCGGCTCCTTTCTCCGTCTCCTGTTAATTTGCTTTCCTGACCCTGAAATATAACAAATGGATTTCAAAGGCTATTTGTTTCATTCCCTTTCTTTTTTATTCCCTTTTACCTATTAATTTTGAGCCTTGAAACTGAAATGCACGGAATGCTAAGTAGTGTCCCGCTTTGGATCCTGGAACAGGAAAAAAGTCCTTAGTAGAAAAACTGAAGAGATCCTAATACTGTAAATTTAGGGTTTAGTGACTGCTTGTCTTGATAACAATTTCTCAATTTTCATAAATATATTCTAACGCTAACCTGCAATGAGTTTGGGTACAGACTATATAGGAGTGCTTAGCACTATTTCACAACTTACTGTAAATCTCAAATTATCCTAAAATAAACTACACATCCCACGGCGAAGTGAAGCAGACCATTGTTCATAAGGAGGGTTTGAGTTAGTCCTCCGCCCTGGCTGACAGGAAGTAGGTTCTGTTTGACCAAGTTGTTTGCTAAGCCGGGTTGTCGGGCTGCTGAGTGTGGACACGTCTGCCGTCTGCCGCACGTTTCCAGGCCGGAATCTCTTCCCTCTCCTTTCCGAGCATCGCGTATCCTCGGATCACCTGCTATAGATAAGCAGGTGAGCCGCTCCCAGCACCTTCGAAGACCGAGGTCAGGAGATAGGGCTATTGAGGTGCAGTATGGAGAGAGGGCTCCGAGGTAGGAGAAGTCACACTGTCTCCCCGAGTCAGGAAGCCCACTGCTGTCCGGACCTGAGGAGGCCGGGACAGTAGAAAGCATTCCTGGGGTGGGGAATGGCAGCGCCAGAGACTCCTGGGTCCTGGGAGCAAGTGCCCTTCCTCTTAGAAGCACAGGCTCCCCTCGGGGAGTACTAAGAAATGGAACTGGATGTGACGACTGGCGCCTTGCAGAAAACTGGATGGTACTTCGTTTAATTCTACTTGCCATGGAATGTTTTATAGCAAGGAAGGGGTATCTGGATCTGTGTGTGTGTGGAGACTATGGTCTTGGCTGCTGGAGGTAGGATAGCTTGGGTAGATCAAGTAAGGAACTATTGGTTGATCCAGGAAAAGTATTAAGAAGTTCAGCCAGGGTGTTGAAGTTAATGGGCAAAGGGCTGTTGGTTTGGGGAGATTTTTGTGGATTTTGAGAGGAGTTAGCAGTTGAAGGTATGGGAAGACCAAAGAGAAAAAGGGGAAAAACAATTCCAAAGTTTTGGAGCATGCCAGAAATCGAGAACTCAAGAGGGGACCTGGGCTGGGGTTGAAAATGATAATGAATTTGCTTTTGAGCCAGCTGTGTTTGAATTGCTAGCAGGATGTCCAGCTGGAGAGGTGTGTTTAGCAGTGGTAAATGTGGAAGGCAAACACACCGAGAAGAGACCGGAAGAGGAAACAAAGCCTAAGCTGGCTGATAGGAGGCATTTAGGGCAAAAGATGAGGATCTGATTTCTTGTAGGATTGAGGAGTCCAAGTGTTCCAGAGACCTGGCCTGGGGAATTAAGTGTCAGCTTCTGCAGAAGTGGAGGAGGTTGAAGAATGAGTCTAAATCGTGGATTTAGCAATTAGGAAGTCATCGGTCATTTTCCAGAGTCTGTTCATTCTGTGTCTCTTCCCGAGTGGCCGGAGGGCTAGGCAAGGAGCCAGGTATGGTTTCCACTCTTGGCTCTACGACTTCCTACTCGTGTAATTTTGGGTGAGTCATTATCCATGGACTGGAACAGGAAAATACATCTCAATCAACCAGAAGGACCCTTTCATTTCTGGCATCACTGAGCAGTCTGGAGAATTGGCGGTCTGTGGCACACACTTTGGAAATGGTGATCTAGTAGCTTAGAGCGCTAATGGACCCACAAAAAAATCATATTTACCCTCCCTCCCTTTGAGATTGGGTTTTGTTATGTTGCCCCAGCTGGTCTTGAATTCATGGCCTTAAACTGTCTTCCTGCTTCAGCCTCCCAAGTAGCTGAGACTGCAGGTGTACACTCCCATGCCTGGCTTAATACTTGCATTGATTTGGCTACTGTAGTTCATTTCAAAAGGATCCTATAGAGTAGTTATGCTTATATCTTTGGAGATAAACAGGCGGTGACAGTTAAGCTTCACTGTCAACTTGACTGGACTCTGAGGCTAATGGAAAGGCGATTGGCACACGGGGGCACAGTAGGCCCTAGTGGACTAACCCTCTGATGCTCAGGGCTCAGTGTGTTGTCAGGGGTGGGGCCTGGTGGAGGTGGGTCATTGGGTGCCTTGCAGGACTGTGGCTCGTGGGTGCTGCTTCCTAGCTGCCCTGGGTGGAGTGACTTTGCTCCGACAGGCCCTTCTGCCACGCCATCTTGGCCTTGCAGCCAGTCAGCTGTGGAGCAAACCTGAAACCATTAGCCAGGTAAGCCTCTCCTCCTCTAAGTTTCAGGCATCAGGTATTTTGCCCCATAATGAGAAAGTGACTAACACAAGTTCTGAGAAGTTCAATGCCTCATCCATGGTCGGAGTGTGGCAAGTGGGAGTGAGGTTGGAGCCCAGACCTCTGAGGCAGTGCCTTCTCTGTCCCCCTCCGCTGCATCCCTGGTCACTAACATTGAGCACATTAAACTGACTAGGTTAGTAATCCTGTGTATTTCCATTTTCTCTCTTTTTTTTTTTTTGGAGACAGTGTCTTGAAATGTAGTTCAGGCTGGCCTTGAACTCACTGGCCCACACTGGCCTGAGTACTCTGAGCTCCCAAAGTGCTGGGTTTATAGGCATGTGCTACCAAGCCTGGCTTCAAAGTTATATTTTTAAAAACATTAGGGAGCTGGGGATATACTCAGTGACAGAGCACTTGGCCAACATACACAAGACCCTGGGTTTGATCCCTGGCATCAAAAAAGCAAAGCCCAGTAGAGCCTGGAGCATGGGAAATTCATATTCAGCTCTGAATTCCGTGAGGTCACACCCATGGTGGCCGAATAGATGTGGTGCAGTAAACAATATTCTTAGCTCACCCTGGGATTGCTTAGCCTTTCCTCTTACAATGCTTTCCCCTTCTGTTGACCAATTCTGTCTTCTGTGCTGCTGGTCGCCCAATCCTGACCACACTATCCTTGGTGCAGGCAGGAGGCTACACTTAATCAGCAAGAGTCCAAGCTGGGCATGGTGGTACCCAGCTATAATCCTAGCACGTTGGGAAGCTGAGACAGGGGGATCAAAAATATGAGCCTGACCCTGGGTTACATTGTGACTTAGCAAGACACTGGCTCAAAAAAAAAGACAGAAATCTACTGCATGGGGATAAATCAAAGCCTCCAAGAGATTCTTCTTTGATTTAATGGGTAATCTCTTATCTACTGTAACTATTTAAGACAGACATAGCTACTTTTTTTTTTTTTTGGTACCAGGGATCGAACTCAGGTCCTTCTGCTTTTGGGGCAGGTGGCAGAACCACTGAGCTAAATCCCCGTCCCCCCAGACATAGCTACTTTTAAAGAAAATAACTGCATAAAATAACCAACCTGATTTTATGAAGATGTGGAGAGGGCTGAGTCCAACAAGCTGTACTGAGTATTGCTCTGGCTCACAGTTTTAGAGATTCACGTTCAGTCCTGTTTAATGTCATGATAAAAACTGAATATACTGTTGATCTCACTGAAGTTCTCCAAATGCTCTTAACTCATCGTAGTATTGTCTCCCAGAGTGTGAAAAACGAATAGGATAATCTAAGTAACGTGCTTGGCACGGGCCTAGCACATGGAAAGAAAGCAGTAAGTGCTGTTATATCATTTTTTTTAAAGTTTTGCTAATTTAATGGGACCAGTTAAATTTTTTTCTAGGCAAGCACAATCGATCAACTTGCTTCTCTTTTTGTCCCTTAATCCTCTTTGTTTGTGTTGTTTAAAAATTTCTAACAGGGGCCAGGGATTTAGCTCAGTGGTTCTACCACCTGCCTCGCAAGTGCAAGGTCCTGATTTCGATCCCCAGTTAAAAAAAAAAATTCTAACATATCATTTAGGTATAATTTACATATAATAAAATGCACCCATCGTAGGTATATGGTTTGCTGAGTTTTAACAAACTGGCACTCTGGTTGAGATACAAAACTGTTTTATCATCTCCTAAACATTTCTTCAATCCTCCCATCCCAGGCCACCCCCGATCTCTTAGCTGTCACTGTCCATTGCTTTTACTAGGCTCTCATACAGTATGTGCCAGTTGGTTGGCAAAACGTCTGAAATTCATGCATGTTTTGCATATATCTGAAATGCATCATTTTTATACATATATAAATTATTTATATATATTCTGTTGTGTGGACATACCACAGTTTACCTGTTTTCTGGAGATGGACACTTGGATTGTTCCCAGGTTTTTTTTTTTGTTTGTCTCTCAGTATTGGTGATTGAACCCAGGACTTTTGCACGGAGCTACATCCCCAGCCCTTTCTTATTTTTCATTTTGAGACAGGGTCTCACTAAATTGTAATATTGCCCAGGGTGGGCTTAAACTTGTGATCTTTCTGGGAAAACAGGAGTACGCCACCACACCCAGCTGCAGGGGTTTTTGTTGTTGTTGTTGTTTTTAAAACCAAACCTTGAGAAAATGATGAAATGTTTCTGAAGAGCTAGAGGAAAACACCTGTTTTGAAATGCTAGGTGGTGAAAGGCTGTGTTAACTGCACTCCACCCTGGAGGGACAAGGTGGAGTGTTTCTGCCCATCACCAGGTGGGTGGTCTCCGGCAGGCAGGAACCCAGATGGCCTGGTTTGTGGCCTTGTGCAGCTGACCACTTTGTGGCCTGCCGTAGAGGCAGATATTTCAGTCTGTTTATTCTGTTCTTTCTTCTTTTATTCATTTTTTCAGCAAACCTTTATTGAGCAGGCACTGTGTTCCGGATACTGGTGTAGGTCCTGGAAGAGCGGTGAACCAGAAAGAACTGCTCGCCTGGCTGTGCTGCCCTCCTCTTGGCCTGGGGAGCAGGCGTGAGCTCTGAGAGAGACATCCAGGCACCCAGTGCACACCACAGAGACCCCTGGCGTAGCACAGAGATGGGGGGTGCTGCACCAGCTCCCCACAAGGAACGAGATCATTATGTACTCCAGACATGGACTAATACAAATTTTAAAAATGGAAAAAAATAAACTTCAAGAAGAGAGAGGGAGGAAAAAAAAAACCTGAGTCTCTTATGCTGCACTTGATTCCCTCCTTTGTATTAGCTTCCTCTTATTATTTTATTTTTTATTTAAAAAATTTATTTATTTTTTGTCCTGGGGATCAAACTCGGGACCTCGAGTTTGCCAGGCAGGCACTGTGCCACTGAGCTAAATCCCCAGCAGCTTCCCCTTTTTATTGGCCCTGGTTTCAGTGGTGTCATTTGAAAAATAAGTGAAATGTGGAGGAGTGCATGAGAAGGAGGCCATAGGTGCTACAAGAATCAGCAGAGGGTGGTACGGCAGAGAGGGGCTGACGCCAGGTGTGTGCCAGGAAGGCCCCCTCGAAGGGGACACTGAAGTGGCCAGGAGCCAGGTGGGCAGGGATCCAGGGCCCAAGCAGTCCAGGCCCACAGAAGAGGCGCGGGCAGGGCTCTGAACACGGGATCTGCAACAGAAAGGGCCAGACGGGACAGGGACGCCTTCTTTCCCACCAATTCACTATCCCAAATACAAAACCTCTGCTAGTCGGTCCATACAGAAATGGAAAATGGACCATCTCTTGACCCCTTTCCTTTCTGTAAAAGATTTATCTCCCTATTTCCTATTATCTTGTCTTTAAATTCGCTCTTTATTTATATTTTGAGTTTCTCATAAAAGAGAAACCATGGCATATTTAAGTCTGTGTGTCTGATTTACTTCACTGAACATTATGTTCTCAGAGTGCATCCATTTTTCTACAAATGACTCAAGTTTATCCTTCTTTGTGACAGAGTAGTATTCCATTGTGTATAAATACCACATTTTGTTTATTCATTCATCTGTTGAACAATAGGCTGCTTTTAAGATTTAGCTATTATGAATTGTGCTGCTATAACCATGGGTATGCATGTATCACTATAATATGATGATTTTAATTCTTTCAGGAAGATACCTACAAGGACAATAGCTGGGTCAAATGAAATTCCTAGTTTTAATGTTTTCAGGAATCTCCATACTGATTTCCGTAGTGGTTGTACTAGTTCACATTTCCAGCAACCATATAGAAGGGGTTTTTTTTCAGCACAGCCTCACCAGCATTTGTTATTATCTGATTCCTTGATAATTGCCATTCTTTCTAGGGTAGGGTGGAATCTCGGTGTTGTTTCAATTTGCATTTCTCTAATGACCAGAGATGTCGAACATTTTTTCATGTATTTATTGACTGTTTGTACTTCTTCAGAGGAGTGTCTACTCATATATTCTTTTTGTTGTTGTTGTTTTTGGTACCAGGGATCGAACTCAGGTCCTTGTGCTTGTGAGGCAGGTGGCAGAACCACTGAGTTAAATCCCCAGCCCCCATTGTTGTTTTTTCTTTTGTTTGGTACCGGGGATCAAACTCGGGTCCTTGCGCTTGCGCAGCAGGCAGCAAAACCACTGAGCTAAATCCCCGGCCCCCCATTGTTGTTTTTGAGACAGGGTCTCAGTATGTAGTTCAGGCTAGCCTTGAACTCATAGTGATCCTCCTCCCTCAGCTTTCAGAGTGCTGGGATTACAGGCATATTCTAGATATTAGTCCTCTGAGGAATAGCCGGCAAAAAATTTTCCCATTCTGTAGGTTGTCTCTTCATTCTGTTGGTTGTTTCCTTTGCTGTATAGAAGCCTTTTACTTTGATACAATCCTATTTGTTGATTCTTGCTGTTATTTCTTTTTTGTTTATTTTTTTGAAACAGGGTCTCTCTCTATATCCCAGCTGCCCTCAAACTGGTGGCGATCCTTCTGCTTCAGACTGCTGAGTGCTGGGATTTCAGGCCTGCACCATCATACATAGCTTCTTGATGTTAGTTCTTGTGCAACTGGGATTTTGTTCAGAAAGTCCTTGCCTATGTACATGTCTTCAAGAGTTTTGCCTATTTTTATCTTCCAGCAGATTAACTATTTCTGTTTTATCATTTAGATCTTTGATTTTGATTTTAGTTTAGTGCAGGGTGAGAGACACTGGTCTGGACTCATCTTCTGCATTTGGATAGTCAGTTTTCCCAGCATCATTTATTAAAGAGGCTTCTTTCTTCCAGGGTATGTTTTTGGCCCCTTTGTAAAAAGTCAGGTGGCTGAATGTGCCTGGGGTTGTTTCTGGCTGCTCTCTTCTGTTCCATTAATCCACATGCCTGCTTTTTTTTTTTTTTTTTTTTTTTTTGGTGTGGGGTATTGAACTCGGGACCTTGAGCTTGCAAGGCAGGCATCAGCACCACTGAGGTAAATCCCTGTCCCTTACATGCCTACTTTTGTGCCAGTACCATGCTGTTTTTATCACAGTAGCTTTGTAGTATAACTTGAAATCTGGAATTGAGATGCCTCCTGCTTTGCTCTTGTTTCCCAGAATTGCCTTTTACTATTCTGGGTCTCTTCTGGTTCCATATGAATTTTAGGTTTGTTTTTTGTTTCCTCTGATTCTGTGAGGAATGCTGTTGGTATTTGGATTGGAATTGCATTAAATCTGTATATCAGTTTTGGAAGAATGGCTTTTGGGGGGGGGGCTACTGGGGATTGAACCTGGGACCTTGTGCTTGCAAGGCAAGTAGTGGAACCACTGAGCTAAATCCCCGGCCCAAGAATGGTCATTTTGACAGTATTGGTTCTGCCTATCGAGGAACAGGGGACATCTTTCCATTTTCTGATGTCCTCCTTAATCTCCTTTTTCAGAGAATAATACTATGGTTTTTGTTGTAGCAGTCTTTCACTTCCTTGGTTAGGTTAACTCCTAAGTATTTAATTTTTCTTGATGCTATTGTGAATGATGTTGTTTTCATAATTTCTTTCTCAGTGAGTTCATTATTGGTGTTTAGAAACACTATTAATTTTTGTGTGTTGATTTCATATCCTGTTACATTGCTAAATTTGGTTATTATTAATTCTAGGAGTTTTTAGTGGAATTTTTTGGATGTTTTATATAGGGATCATGTCATCTACAAATGATCACAATTGGACTTCTTCCTTTATTATACATATCCATTTTGTTTCTTTCTCTTGCCTGCTTGCTTTGGCTAATGTTTCAAGTACTATATTGAACAGGAGTGATGATAATGGACATCCTTGTCTTGTTCCTAATTTTAGAGGGAAAACTTTCAGCTTTTCCCCATTTAATGTGATATGGGAAGTAGGTTTGTCATTAATGGCTTTTATCAGATTGAGGTTAGGTCCTTATATACCTATTTTCACTCACAGTTTTGTTGTGTTGTGATGAAAGAAAAAATTACAACAAATCTAGTTTTACAGATCTTTTTAACTGGCTTTTATGGTTCTAGAATCAGGCAGCAGTCTGGACCAAAACTGGTTCAGAATGCTCTGCCCCACCACATGTACAGGTTGTATTTGAGTCAGGAAAAAAGGAAGTGACATACACAAGAGTAAGTAAGGTATAGAGAGGGCTGATTGATTAAAGCTTGGCATTTGCCTTATTTGAACCTGCTTTGAACAATCTGCTATTGTGATTGGCTGAGACTTGGCTGCTTGTTACAAGAATAGGTTATGGAGAAGTTAGGCTATAATTCACTACGTGGGCAGAAACTTTTAGGCCAAACTTAGTTCACTTTAACAATTTTTAAATTTTAAATTTTAGTTGTCAGTTAACAAACTATAGTTGTATATATTTATCGGGTACAAAGTGATGCTATGATTTATGAGTACAATATAGAATAATTAAATCAAGCCTACAAATTTTTTTTTTTTGGTATGTGGGATTGAACTGGGGACGTTGCACTTGCAAGGCAGGCAGTGGAACCACTGAGCTAAATCCCCAGCCTCTAAATCAAGCTTACATATCCATCACATCAAAGACATATTTCTGTGATGAGAACATTTGACATTTACTCTTGGTGATTTGGAAATGTACAATACATTATTGTTAAGTATATACATAATGTGGGTGTAGTATCTCTCAAAGAGAAAAAATGTGATTTTTCCTGTCTCGTTGAGGCTGTGAACCCTCTGACCGTCATCTGCCCATTTCCCCCACTTCCCAGCCTCTGGTAACTATTATTCCACTCTGCTTCTCTCCTTGTAGACTCCACATTCAAGGGAGATCATGTGGTCCTGCAATTCTTTCTGTATCTGACTTCTTTCACTTGCTTAATATTATCCAGTCTCATTTATGCTGTGGCAAATTAACAAATATCTTTCTTTTCAAAGTCTGAATACTATTTCATTTTATGTGTATCTTATATCGTTCGTGTGTGTGTGTGTGTGTGTGTGTGTGTGTATGTGTGTATGTGTGTATGAATGACTGGGCCTTGAACCCATGGATACATCCCCAGCACTTTATTTTTTTATTTTGAGACAGGGTCTCACTAAGTTACACAAGCTGAGCTCCAACATTTATTTATTTTGGTAAATACCCAGAAGGAGGATCACTAGATTTGCTGACCAGTTTTACTGTTTTTCCCTATGGTGAAGCGAGCATTTGCTCATGAGCAAGGTTGGGAGATCGCTGAGTGTGTCCGAGGTGCAGATCTGGGAACCAGAGGAGGATGACATGACAGAAGGCGACCTGGGGTACGGCCTCGGCCGGAGACCCGGAGGCCTCTGCAAGGTGGAAGGCTCATGTTTACTTAGATCTAGAAGATCCGATGGGAAAAGCTTCAGTCCTCCTCCACTTCCAAGAGATGGGGAAGAAAGAAGTGGGGCAATTTTCCAGTATTTCCTGCAGAAGAGCCTGCAAACCGCGAGTCCTCAGAGGCCCAGAACTGCGAGCTCCAGTCAGGAAGGGAACCCTGGTAAGGATGTGAAATTCTCTCCTCCTCCCTCTCTGATCCCAGTCACCCTTCCATCAAGGGTGAACAGAAACCACAGAGATTTCAGAAATTCATCTTCACTCGCCCTTGAGATTAGTGCGGTGAGTGATAGCGCAGAAGAACTGATGTTTGTATTTCCAAGCTTTGTGCAAACTATGAACTGTGGTTCATAATACAGTTATTCCACATTACTAATATACTGTGTGTTTGTTATTGGTAAAAGTGATCACCTACCTTCCTTTAAAAAAAAAAAAATACTGGGGATTGAACACAGGGCCTTCACACTGAGCCACATCCCCAGTTCTTTTACTTACTTATTTTAATTTTATGTATTTATTTATTCTTTTATTTTGAGACAGGGTCTTGCTAAGTTGCTGTGTTCTTCATGGTGGGCTCCAACCTGTGATCCTCCTGTCTCAGCCTGTTAGAGCACTGGGATTACAGGCCTGTGCCACCACGCTTGGCTTTTACCTTGCTGTTCTGTGGGGGTAGTTTTATTCTTCTTTTTTTCTTTTTCTTGGTCAACAAATAGTCACTGGGTACTCTGAAGTACCAGGCACAGGTCTAGGTTCTGGCAAGAACGTAAGTGAGCACAACACGGCCAGGCGCTAATGTCATGTGTTTCGCATTGTAGCCGAGGAGTAGGAGGTGAACCTACCAATCAGCGCATGCGCAGCATTAGGCGGTGCTAAGGAGAAGACAGTGTACCCGTGGGGCGTGGGGTGCTGTTTCGGGCCAGGGTTAGGGCAGCCTCTTGGAGGAGGTGACAGGTGAGGAGCAGCCTGGTGGTTACCTGGGAAAGGATGTTCCAGGCAGAACTCAGATGCTTCTGGTTATTTATTTATTTATTTATTTATGGTACGGGATCGGACTCTGGACCTTGC